TGAGCTTTCCAACGTTGGTTGTATTACGGTCATTCATCACAACATCCCGCAAATGGATATATTCCTCGGACCGAAGTTTCGTCTGATTCAATCGGAGGAACAGCAAACGTTCTGTTTCAATTTTTGCATATATATCGACAATGTACTGATGAATCAACTGACGACATTTTAATATATGATTGTCATCGGTCCTCCGAACCATTAATCGGTATGATTAAAAGTTCATCGCGCTGCACTTTTTATTCGTTTCTACACCATTGACTGGATCTACCATCCTCACATTGAAATTATATCCATCGGCACCATCCCAGAAGATGAGTGGATACTGCAAAGCATCGTAACAACGGTGAGTTTCTGCGACGTTCACCAATCAATCGTTTCGTCGTCAGCAGGCGTTTCGTCTGCATGAATGACAATTTTATGGGTGTCCGAAGCCATCATATCGATTGCTGTTTTGAACAAACGCACCAAATGGTTCCGTTCGTGAAAAAGCTTCTGTAGCTGGGAAATAATGGGCTTCTTCAGCGAGGTATTGATTCCATAACGTGCATCGACTTCAGCCCCATCATCACCAATGAAGTACATTTGAAAAAATTTGTGGTCGCTATCTGAGAACGGAAGCAGGGAACCGGCTTTGTGATAGATTTGTCCTTTGATTTTAAAAGTTGGCATGAATTGCGCACTTATAATTTCCTCACCAAATGTCGTCATTTGGAAGCAAGAGTTGTATTTCCTAATGTTCGACAGGAAATTCTTCGATTCAGCAGTAGATCCAGCGAATAGAGAGTGCAGACGCTCTGGTGGTGCTTCAAGTTGATGCAATTTCACTTTCCCGGAAGCGCAACACAATCCTTTTAGTTCGTTGTTCAATTTAAGAGCCCGACAGTGTGTGCAGACCTGATGCATACGGCCAATAACGACATTGCGGTTCGAGCTATAATCAACAGTTGGATTATATCGGAATTCAAGACGATTGTATTGCAGGTTTCGATCTGTTGCAAGCTGTAAACGCGCTTCAGCTACCCTTGCCCTGTCGCGTTCATTATTTTGAGACCGAATCAAATCGATTGCTGCAGAACGCGACTGCCCAACTTTCAATCGTGTTCGCTCAAGCCTAGCTGCTCGAGTTTCTGCTGATTCCGCGTTGTGCATCCGCATTGCTCTCAGCCGCTCATTCTCTCGGATGGAGGCCCGCTCTTCATCAGTCATATTCGAAATGCTACGTCTTTTTGCTTCTGTGTTGCGAGTATGATGACCCAAATTCGACTTTTTGGGTGGCATGACTTCGTTTCTAATGACTTCATTTCTAACTGACATTTTGACATTTGACATTTTCTTCTTAGCTGACTGACTAAATAGAAAAGTAGGGGCACGGGGAAACGCGAAAAAAACTGATATATTCGCAAACGCAGATAAGCTATCAAAATCAAAAGTAGACATAAACCGAGCTGGAACCTCAACGCATGTTGGGTAAAAATTTGGGCTTAAACGGTTCAGAACTTTTCAAGTCTATAAATGACGCAGATACGAAGTTCGTATTACGAACAGAGCATTATTATTTATATATATATATATATATATATATAGATTAAATAATAAACAGAAAACAACAAAAATTTTTGATGTTTTGTTGTGAGATTATGATTTGATGCGTTACGAAAGTCTAAGCCGTGAACATGCACTCAATTTTGCTCGCCACTGTACATATGTATAACCATATATTACATATATTAAACAAAACAAAAATGTAGAACTGAAACTATATAAACATTTTAAGGAAAAATGTAAATATACGGTAATAAGAAACTAAAAAGTGTATTATACTGGAAACTTCTTCTACTGGAAGAAGTGCAAACGGATCATGTTCGACCTAGTTACCTTGTTGGGAACTGAAAACATTAGTTTTTCCAGGAGTAATTTGAAATCCACTTCAAGAACAGGCTTATGAACTCAGCAAATGAACGTCATAACCTTACACTTTAAGCAGTTAGGTAAGTGGAGATTGTTAGAACACAAGACAAGAACACAAAACTTTACATCTCCCGCCTACATAAATGTAGAAGCGTAGCTAATGCAGAGTCTAAGTCGGGCCGTACTCTCTGTACGGGTTCTCCATCTATCTATCTGTAATTGGTCTATCTTTGGATCATCAAATTTTATCTGCACGCAAAATAAATAATTTTGTTTTATTTATTAATATCGGACTTTTATATTTTTGGGTTAAACATAGTCATAGAAAAAATTCCATGCACAAACGAAAGTGCAAAAAATATGTGACTTTTATTTTAGCAAAACTATAGCGTTTTTTGTTATTGTTGGCTGGACTGTGGCACACATTTTTATACCCTTGCAGACGGTATTATAATTTTGGTCAAAAGTGTGCAACGCAGCGAAGGAGACATCTCCGACCCTATAAAGTATATATATTCTTGATCAGGATCATCTCCTGAGTTGATATGAGCATGTCCGTCTGTCCGTCTGTCTGTTTCTACGCAAACTTGTCTCTCAGTTTTAAAGCTATCGACTTGAAACTTTGCACACACCCTTCCTTCCTTTGCACGCAGTATATAAGTCGGAACGACCGGAATCGGCCGACTATATCCTATAGCTGCCATATAACTGATTGATCGGAAATGGTATAACTTCGGTGTTTTTAGAGTTAGAGTTCAAATTTTACATGAGCGCTATTTTTGGCAAAATAATCGTCAAATTTCGTAAGGATCGGCCGACTATATTCTATAGCTGCCTTATAACTGAACGATCGAAAATGACCCAACATTCGTGTTTTTGAAGATAGAAAGCTGGAACTTGGTACAGATTATATTTTCGTCAGTGGTTCTAGTGGTACAGATTAGAGGTCTGCAGGAATACATTCTTATTGCCTCAGCCATAGAATACATCCGAATGGAATAGAATGAATGAGTGCAAGAGACACAACGAATTGAATGAGAGGGAGTGAGAGAGTGAGAGAGCATTGTAACTCATGGGCATTCTCTTGCTTTGAAACAGAGTGAGTTGGGGTGGGAAGTAAAAAGAGTGCTTTTAGAATGAGGAACGCAGGCGAATGTCTCGAATGGTTTTTAAGACACTCTATGCATTCATTTATTTTCTTCTGTTGCGCAAAACGCTTCTTAAATACTTTTTTAATAATGAGGGAATTGACCGAAAGGTGAATTATGATAAAGTGTTTTTTTACTTTGGTTTTTAACTGTTATTATTATTTTCTTAGTGTTTATTGTTCAGTTTTTTCAAATTAAATTATTTTGCAAATTTTTTTAGCGGCAAAATTGTGCTGGAAAATTATTTATTAATAAATATTGAAAATATTTTTACATTTATATAAGTAAAATACGTAAAATAAAATATACAGCATAGTAATGAATATTTCTGGAAAAAAAACAATGACTTAATTCACTTTTGAATTATTTTATTATCTTATAATTATTATATATTTTATTATTATTTTATATATTTTATTATTTGAATTATTTTATTTATTATTTTATTATTATTTATTATCAGCGTCTAAAAATACAGGCAAATATGCATAGTTGTATCGTACATTCTAGAATGCATTCGAAACAATTCGAAAGCGAACTGTAACTCTAACTCATTCAATTCGGTTTTCATCCCCCGAATGTTGTGCGAGTGAGACTCACTCATTCATTAATTTTCGTCTCAGCATTCTATCTTACTCAATTCATTTTCGAGGTTGTGCATTTGAATGTCGTTTTTTAGCTATTCATGCAGACCTCTAGTACAGATTTAGATTTTATATTAGTCAGTTAATCGGACCTACCGAATTTCATAACGATCGGCCGACTATATCTTATAGCTGCCATATAACTGAACGATCGGAAATGGTTTTTGGTAGAAATACCAACTTTGGTATATTTGAGGATAAAAGTTTGGGACTTTAGATTTTGTATTGTAATAAATTGGATTATATATTCATAATCCCATAAGGATCGGCCAACTATATCCGATGTTTGCGATATATATCCGGTTTTAGCTGCAAGGGTATATAAACTTCGCCTCCGCCCGATATTAGCTTTCCTTTCTTGTTTCTTTTTATGTCAAAAGTATTTATTAAGTAAATAAAGTATCTAAGCCTTAATTTTGGCTAACTTGTAACTAACATCTAGGGGAAAACTGATAAAAAAAAAATAAACCAGCGTCGAAAGCAAGGGTACTGCAATAAGCTTATATTGTTCTAAACAATTTGACGAAAATATGGAAAATACTGAGTCACTGAAAAAGTCTGATTGAAAAAGTCAATACAATGATCGGTGGTAACTCGGTCTTGATCATATAAGTTATATGTATAGTGGAAACGACATAAATTCCTTCGTTGCTAAAAATGCATTAACTAGATGTAATTTTGGTAAAGTAATAAAATAAGTAAACGTAAACGTAAGCAAGCACCAATAGAAGATAAATATTTTTGACACCACATGGAAATATACTTTCATATATACAATTTCAAGTCAATATTTTTTAAGGGGGGACATATGAGTAACTGGGGGAAAAAAAACGATTTTCTGGAATTGTTTTTGGCCAAATGAAAAATCCTATCGAAAATTTGTAAATAAGGTTTTATAGTATTAGATGCGAAGTACACAATAAATTGTAAGCGGTTACAAATGTAAGCGACATAAAAAAAAGCCTACGTGTGTCGATAGATAAAGGTATTTTAAATATACTTTCAAAATTCAAAATCGATCGGTTAAGATTTGTTCGAGTTATGTTTCCGGCAGACTCAAAAAAAGTGGTTTCGAGAAAAACGCGTTTAAAGTTTTAAGTACTGTGGCATATACCTGTAAGGCATCGCCGCAGAATGGAAAGTTTCGACACTTTTGTCGGACTCTATCTTAGGGTATGTTATTTTTCGAACCTAAAGAACTTTTTAAGCGAAAAAAATAATTTTCGATTTTTTAAAAATGTTACTCAGATGTCTTCCCTCAAACGTAAAATACAATTTAATAATTTTGAAATTATACCTTATTTAAATTTGCAAATCCATTCGTAATGTTGTTTTTTCCGTGTCGAAGGCTGTGCATCTTTTTTGAAATAATTATTTCTGACAAGATTTGTTCAAATGTTTTTTGCATTTCCCCATTTATTTCAATAGAACCCTCTATCGGTATTATTTTTAAAACTACATCCTCTGTTTTAAAGTTGGAATAATTTCCATTATGGAGGGTATATCTAAAGACCTCTCCGTACGCGCCTTCACCTATTTTTTTAGTATTGAGCATATTACTTGTTGCATATTCCAAGTCAAATGGAGTTGGTTTGCTCTGTTGGCATTGTTCCAAAATTTCTTTTTTAAAATTTATATTTCCAAGCAATGTTTTTTTTAATACTGATTTACGTTGACAGAATGGTTGAATAGGTCTACTGATAGTAGTTACGCATGATCCATTTGAACTCACACATCCATTTTCCTTGAAAACATTATGTGTTCGGCGCCAAGTGTTCAGGGATTTTCGCCATTTTCCTGGTTTTAATAAAAGTTTTTTATGATCTTCGCAGTTGTGACTGAGATTTTTATTCTCTTTTAAAGAGTCTTCAAAATAAACTTTCTTTTTATAAAACGTGTTTTTAGGAATTCTTTTGTTGCACTCTAAACCATCTAGTTTTATTCCAGTAATCGGAGACATCTCGCAAGGAAATTTTTTCTTGCCACAATAATAGGGTGTTGATATGCAGCACATTGGAAAATAAGATTCAAGAGAGTCACTCTCCTTGTTTTGAAAAGATGAATTTAGTTCTGTGCCTGTTTTGCTATTTTCTACACTGGAGTCTATGTTTAGCGAAGCCCTTACTGAGTGTTTTATAATGTTCAGGTTCCGAAGTTTCCTAATTTGAAAAATTTTAATGGTATTTGCGTTTTATTCATATTTGATTGATCTTACGGTTGAATATCCAACAATTTATCGAAAGAATCTTTCCACACTTCATCAGGAATAGTGTCTTCCATCTCTCATAAACTCAAGTTAACCACAAAATGTGTATACAAAATATTATAAGGATTATGTTTTTTTATGTGGAATATGTCAACAAAAATTTAAATTTATTATAAAGACCGCACTCTACAGATGTGAACACCCTATAGAATTCATTGATGGCAACAGTCGTACAAAGTGACCGTTTAAAAAAAAAAAAAAAACACCCATTAGACAAAAAAAATGGATGTCCGTTAAAATAGCGTCGCTCAGTTAGCGGCGAAAAGGAACGGTGGAATAGCAGCACAGCAAATAACTTTTGGTTTTTAAATTATTCCACTATTTAGCCACTAAAATACATCAAATCAACACTAGAATTGTAAACAATTGAATATATTATTGTTTTTTATTACTTTGATGGGTTTGAAAACTGTTTTGGGCCTTATTTCAGAAACTAGAGAATGCGCCAACAAGCAAAATACACCAGTTTATCGCCCATTATTTGAGAATAAGCCCATTTGAGAATAAGCCCTTCATTAAAATCGCTGCCTACGCTTTGGAGAAAATTAAATAAAAGTGGGCCAACCTCGTTATCAGCCCATACAAAAATGACCCCAAATAATTGTTTTGTTGTGATCAAGTTGTAAAGAGCTCAGAGGACGCGCCCATATGCACGGTAGTGGAGTCGATGTAGGAAATTTTCAATTATGTTTGGAGCAAAAATCATACAAAGCGCTCCCGAAAATTTTTGAGAAAATCGCCTTCCAGTTCCCCATTAATTTTGACTAATAAGAAGAGCGCCAACTATTGAACCGGAACTAGTTCACAAAAAAGTTCGTTCAACTAGTTCCAAGATAAAACATAGCCTCTAGCCTATAAGCCAGTGGTCGGCGCCGCAATACATTGATATGACTTTAACGCATTAGTATTAGTATCGAATAGCAGAAAGTACCCTTCAGTACCATACCTCAAGCATTGCTCAAGGAAACGTCTATGTAATAGTATTGCCCCCTCGGGGTATGTTTCATACAAACCATCGCGGAATTTCCATAGAAGAGTTCCTCGCATCGAGGAATTCGAACACCTTAAGGAATACTGCAGGATTCCTGTAGTTATTCGAAGAGCATTTCGAACTAAATACCCCAGGGAAACCCTGGGGTATACTCTCAGGAATCATTGAGGAAATACCCCAAGGAATCCCTGGGGTATACCGTGAGGAATCTGTTAGGAATTCCTAGAAATTAGATATTGCTTAAATTCTAATAGAAATTAGATATTGCTTACATTATTTGTTATTAAAATACATACCAATCAAAACTCCATAAAAATTTGGGAACGCCTTCAATTTCTTCTTCCCACTTACTCCGTCAATATTGTATTGGACGATGAGGTCCTCGACGAAAATATATTTCAACGATTTGGTTAGGGGTCAATATATTGGCGCGCTTCAATATATTGGTCACTGCGGTGGTCTGCAAAAATTAATAGGTATTAAACAATTTTTTATATTTAATTATATGTATTATATATTACTATATACTATATACTATATATATTATATATTATACTTAGACATTCTTCTTTCATGCCGCGGCCTAAGGCGAAATCTAAGGCTGCCAATGCATCGTCGGTGCTGGTGGCCTTGCTAATAAATAAGTTCATTATATGCACTACTCACCAGAATTAGTTATTATCACTAGGTCACTTAAATGTTTTTTAAAAAATTTAACTTCAAACGCAACAAACAAACGCATGTAACTTTTATGCAAATTGAACATCAAATGCAAAGAGAAGTGGAGAGGCAAGACGAAACCGAAAATTGACAACCGATAATTCTGCCGCGTGCCAGGGTATAGTCGACCAACGCAATGCCTTGTAATTAGAATCGCACAAGGAAAATAATCAAACATGAACATTTTGGCTTTGCCAATTAATAATACATTTCAATATACCATATGATTAGATAAGAAAAATTAATTAAATATAATCTTAAATATATATAAATATTTCAACATATTTTAAAAAGGGTATTCTGACGTCGCTTCCATTCATTTGGTTTTCGACACCGATTTTTTTTCTCTCCCTTCCCTCCATCTACATCTCTCTAATTGTCTCTCTGTCGCGTGCCTCTGCTCCGAAAATATGACGTAGAAGCTGCGAGAATCATTGTCGAAAACCGAAAGCAGGTAGAAGTTTCGTTTCCCCTTTCGTTTGGGACTTGAGTAAACGAAGCCCATGCAATTTGTTTTTGTTTTTCGAACATGTAGCCAGGAAAAGTCGGGGAAGGAATTTTTGGTACTGAAGGGTAGGCTGAGTATGACGTCTCACACATTTATACTGTGTGTGTGTGGCAGAGCTCGGGCAGAGAAATTTCCTATGGCCGCGGGATAGGCCCGTGCCGACCACTGCTATAAGCCTATCTTATTGGGTCCCTCACAGGGAACGGACAACATAAAACGATTTCTGTCCCTGATTTACCAATACTGTATCACATATTTTTGCGCTACACAACACAGCAGCCGCCATTATGGATTTTGAATGCCCACCCTAGTTTCTGTTACAGAAGATGCGCCATTATGGACGGTATAACACGAGAAAGCTATTTTTTACGCTGGATCCAATAGTTCCATTCCCATTGCTCCCTACGATTTGGAGCAATCAAGTCCCGCACACTTATGAACCTGGTTGGCCAATACTGGGGGTTAACCGATTCATATGTATTGATGCTTTCCAACCCTTAAAGCGTAGTTTCCCCAAAAAGCTTGATACTCGTCAAAAACAAGGGAAACGTCTAATTTGTTATGGTGAACAAAGGGGCATCGGCTCCCAGGGGGCAGCAAAAACCCCTCCGAACAGCGGATTCGGCTGGTGCACGGGAGTCGGCGCCTAGCCACCATATCCAGACGCCGTCGCGCACGGCCATCACCGACCAATCCACCACCGATCAGGCCAGCGCCTACCAGGCCAACGCTGACCAGGCCTGCCTCGAGGAAATTAAATAAATATAATTTATTAGTAATACATATAAATTAAAAAAGTTTCACTCCGAGCTTCAAAGAGTTAAGACGTGCAACTAACCTACGCTCCAAGCTACAGCTTATCAATTTGATCTACCAACCGATCATCCGATTAGAAAACTTCTTCGCGATTAACCGCAAAAAAACAAAAACTATAAACAAGGGAACTTGCTTTATTTACGCACCAAGGGACCGAGCCCAAAACAACTACAATGTCTCGTCCACCCGACCGACCGCCCGACCGACCACTGACAACGATTAACACGATAAAAAGTGAACCAAAGTACATAATTATTACCAGAACTGATAATGGGAAATTTGAAAAAATATCCCCGTTTATTATTAAAAAAGTGATAGACTACACATGTAAAGGATCAGTCGAAACATGAAAAAACTTAGATCTGGTACCCTTCTCGTCAAAACAAAAAACCATTTTCAAGCTCAGAAATTACTTAAAATGCAATTATTCCACAACTTTCCGGTACACGACGAAGAGCACAAAACTCTAAACATAACATAACATACACGTCGTTAACATACGACCATACATTCCACCTCCAATTAGATGCTTCAACTGTCTCAGATTTGGACACCCCTCCTCTTACTGTAAAAATCCTAAAACATGCGCCAACTGCTCCGAAGAAAGTCACACAACAAACGACGAACCATGCACCAATACCCCAACCTGCGTCAATTACAAATACGAAGATGACCAAATCAAACACCACAACGCTATGGACAAATCATGCCCCGCCTTAATCAAACAAAAAGAATTAACGGCCATCAAAATAACGCAAAAAGTAGACCACAAGACAGCCCGCTTCATATAAAATACACGCCATACCCACGCTATCACTGCACACAAAGAACCAGCTACCGAAACAACAACGCACGCAACCACTACATCAAAAACAAGCCCTCCAACTCCAAATCCTATAACTAGACAAATTATCACCTATGTAGACTCCCCTGAAGAACACATGGACACCACTGCATCAACATCATTATACTCCACACGCTCCGAAATTTCGGAAGAACTTAAATTAAAAATATTCACAACCAAATCAAATAAGTTAGGAACTACCTTGAAATCAATAGACAAGAACAACCAAAAAACTAAAGACGAAAAGAACACTAGTAAGAAATGTAAGATATCTGATAACATGAATATAATGAGCACAGATGAAGATTTAGACCTATGAAATTATATATAACATATAAATAGAAAATTATTTAAGTTCTAGTTATCCTTAAACTATACCCTTAACATGCTTGAAGTATTACAATTAAATATAAATGGATACCTCAATAATTATAATCACCTACAAATACTCATAAAAATAAAACAACCCTAAAATAATTTCCATTCAAGATACTCACCTTCACTCTCCCAATAAATTTCCCACCCCAATAAACTACACTCTTTACCACATAAATACCTCAAACATCCCGTACGGCGGGGTAGCTCTTCTAATCCACAACTCTTTGCAACAAGAACAAACCCAAATCCACAATATAAGCTTTAACTCAGTCGCCGTAACAGTACAATCTAAAGTAAAATGTACAATAATTTATAGTTATATACCTCCCAACAAACCTTTCGCCCTACAAGAATTTCAAGACACTTATAACAATATTAACACTCCTTGCCTAACAGGCGATTTCAACAGCTGGCACAAAAGTTGGGGATCACAAAATAATAACGCACGAGGCAACCTGTTGTTTAAATATATAAACCAATCCTTGCTAACCACACTCAATAATGGCTCCCCCACCCACTTCACCACACACTACACATTTACACATATTGACCTCTCCTTAGCTTCCCCTGAACTATTCCTACACGCTAAATGGGCAATTGACAATCAACTCTCAGGTAGTGACCACTTCCCGATCTCAATCCAACTTTTTGGAAATGAATCAACCGACTCCTCCGTTAGCAAACCAAAGTTCAATATTGATAAAGCCAACTGGCCTCTCTATCAAAAACTTAGCAAACCGTTTTCCAAAGACAGACCACTCAGCCAAAAAATAAACCAAGAAACAGCACGCCTTTGTACCATCATGAAGCCTAGCGCCCATTTATCCATACCACAATATCACCCTAACTCATCTAAACAGGTCTCCTGGTGGGACTCCGATCTACAAATTCTAAATTAATAGAATTTAAAGTGTGCCTTAAATTAGCA